AAATCTGCTTTTGAAGACAGTACATTTAACGAGTTTATAAAAATATTTCCACCACTTTGAACTTATTAAATTGATTCTGAAACAAAATATGTACATGTAGCTTACCTTAATTTCAATTTGTGTAGAAATTATTTATATTCCATAAAAAACCGGAGTAATTTTTGTACAGAATGTCGCATAGGTTACTGTTGAATTAACCTTGAGTTCTTGCCATTTTAACTCAGTGTACATAAATCGCCACCAAATGACACAATTTTCAGCAATTAAATGAAATAAATTGCTGTTACATTAACAAAAAGAATTTGAATGATCACTGAAAGATACTAAAAATCAAATATCTTGTAAACAATTGATTTTTTCGCAATAAATGCCTTAATATTTTTATAAAGAGAATTACGACCTAAATCGCGTAGTATAATAAAAAATATATAATTCCACTAAAAAAATATAATTCAACTCCATTTGTCCTCGACGCATTCACCTAAAAAAATCTTATTAGTATAAGATTACAAGCCCCCTAAAACCTTTCAAATTTAGTTTGAAATATTTTCTAGTGTTATAAACGATTTCAAAGATACTTGACATGGTCAATTTAAATAGGTCACACGCTACGTATTAAATCCAGCAGATAAAAAAAAATCATCAAAATCGTCAAGATTGTGTGGAAAAATAATTTTGTACAATGATCCATTTTACTTAAAATAATGGTGATGGTGAATATAGAAGAACATTCCCACGATCATTTAGTCTGTTTTCTTTGGAAAAATTAGTTGTCAGTCGAATAGGAAGAAGAATAGTTGCTTTATGGTATCATGTTTCTGTAACTTACTTTGAGACGCAGCCGAAGGAATAGAAGAATTTGCCAGACTTTAAAGAGGTTAAAGAACTTTTTGCTTCTCTTATTAAATAGAATTCTTTTCAGGAAGACCGTTCCTGTTATTAACGTCTCGTTTTCATGGGAACCAATGTTACATCGTCAGATACTTTGAGATGTTTCACGAGTTTCAAGGCAGGCTAAAAATAAATGAAAATAAACTGTTCGAATAAAGCTTGGAAAACACGTCGCAATAAAAATGTATCAAAAGTTGTCTTTTCGGTAGGAACATCGAGCGTTTTACATACCTATGTATGTAGGTGTACTGAAATAATCCACTGCACTGATACTTTACGTATCAACATTTTCCTGTTACGCCTGAATAAATACTCCGAAAGGAGCGATTGGAAAACGTACGTACGAAATTAAATTGTTTTTCGCTAAGTCCACTATATATTGTTTGAAATTGCTGATTTTACAGAAATTTTATTGTGGTTGATGCAACCATGAATAAAATTGTTGAATCGAAATGACTACACTAGTTGAAACCCTTTTGATAATGGATAAAAATGTGAATTTAGGATTTGNAGATTACAAGCCCCCTAAAACCTTTCAAATTTAGTTTGAAATATTTTCTAGTGTTATAAACGATTTCAAAGATACTTGACATGGTCAATTTAAATAGGTCACACGCTACGTATTAAATCCAGCAGATAAAAAAAATCATCAAAATCGTCAAGATTGTGTGGAAAAATAATTTTGTACAATGATCCATTTTACTTAAAATAATGGTGATGGTGAATATAGAAGAACATTCCCACGATCATTTAGTCTGTTTTCTTTGGAAAAATTAGTTGTCAGTCGAATAGGAAGAAGAATAGTTGCTTTATGGTATCATGTTTCTGTAACTTACTTTGAGACGCAGCCGAAGGAATAGAAGAATTTGCCAGACTTTAAAGAGGTTAAAGAACTTTTTGCTTCTCTTATTAAATAGAATTCTTTTCAGGAAGACCGTTCCTGTTATTAACGTCTCGTTTTCATGGGAACCAATGTTACATCGTCAGATACTTTGAGATGTTTCACGAGTTTCAAGGCAGGCTAAAAATAAATGAAAATAAACTGTTCGAATAAAGCTTGGAAAACACGTCGCAATAAAAATGTATCAAAAGTTGTCTTTTCGGTAGATACATCGAGCGTTTTACATACCTATGTATGTAGGTGTACTGAAATAATCCACTGCACTGATACTTTACGTATCAACATTTTCCTGTTACGCCTGAATAAATACTCCGAAAGGAGCGATTGGAAAACGTACGTACGAAATTAAATTGTTTTTCGCTAAGTCCACTATATATTGTTTGAAATTGCTGATTTTACAGAAATTTTATTGTGGTTGATGCAACCATGAATAAAATTGTTGAATCGAAATGACTACACTAGTTGAAACCCTTTTGATAATGGATAAAAATGTGAATTTAGGATTTGAGGATTTTAATAGTAGTTTATATAAAATGTATAATATAGGTAAGATGAGACACTTTAGAAATTAGGAGTAGTATTTTTGTATTTTACTTACTCAGACTATCGGTGCTACGAAACAACAATGTGCAAAAGCACTTATATCGCACAGATACTCCATAGCTAGGTACACATGAAGTATCATTATTCTAAATATCATTTCAAATTACATGTTACTTCATTTAATAACTATTTCTATGCCTGGGATCACATANACTTAAAATAATGGTGATGGTGAATATAGAAGAACATTCCCACGATCATTTAGTCTGTTTTCTTTGGAAAAATTAGTTGTCAGTCGAATAGGAAGAAGAATAGTTGCTTTATGGTATCATGTTTCTGTAACTTACTTTGAGACGCAGCCGAAGGAATAGAAGAATTTGCCAGACTTTAAAGAGGTTAGAGAACTTTTTGCTTCTCTTATTAAATAGAATTCTTTTCAGGGAGACCGTTCCTGTTAGACGTTAATACGTCTCGTTTTCATGGGAACCAATGTTACATCGTCAGATACTTTGAGATGTTTCACGAGTTTTAAGGCAGGCTAAAAATAAATGAAAATAAACTGTTCGAATAAAGCTTGGAAAACACGTCGCAATAAAAATGTATCAAAAGTTGTCTTTTCGGTAGGAACATCGAGCGTTTTACATACCTATGTATGTAGGTGTACTGAAATAATCCACTGCACTGATACTTTACGTATCAACATTTTCCTGTTACGCCTGAATAAATACTCCGAAAGGAGCGATTGGAAAACGTACGTACGAAATTAAATTGATTTTCGCTAAGTCCACTATATATTTTTTGAAATTGCTGATTTTACAGAAATTTTATTGTGGTTGATGCAACCATGAATAAAATTGTTGAATCGAAATGACTACACTAGTTGAAACCCTTTTGATAATGGATAAAAATGTGAATTTAGGATTTGAGGATTTTAATAGTAGTTTATATAAAATGTATAATATAGGTAAGATGAGACACTTTAGAAATTAGGAGTAGTATTTTTGTATTTTACTTACTCAGACTATCGGTGCTACGAAACAACAATGTGCAAAAGCACTTATATCGCACAGATACTCCATAGCTAGGTACACATGAAGTATCATTATTCTAAATATCATTTCAAATTACATGTTACTTCATTTAATAACTATTTCTATGCCTGGGATCACATAATATTACATCGTATGTAATATTATTTTAAATAACGCATTATTTTATTTTATAATTATTTGTGATATTATTTTAAATGACACACTGTTTTATTTTATAATTATTTGAAATATTATTTTAAATATGATGGTCACCTTGAATTTTTTAAATTGAATGGTTTATATTTCTTCTCGTATTCGGGTAAGATATTAATTCTACATGAAAAGTATTCTACCAAATCGGATCTAGAATAAATAGTTACTGAAATATAGAAACAATAAATTNCAGGCTAAAAATAAATGAAAATAAACTGTTCGAATAAAGCTTGGAAAACACGTCGCAATAAAAATGTATCAAAAGTTGTCTTTTCGGTACATACATCGAGCGTTTTACATACCTATGTATGTAGGTGTACTGAAATAATCCACTGCACTGATACTTTACGTATCAACATTTTCCTGTTACGCCTGAATAAATACTCCGAAAGGAGCGTTTGGAAAACGTACGAACGAAATTAAATTGATTTTCGCTAAGTCCACTATATATTGTTTGAAATTGCTGATTTTACAGAAATTTTATTGTGGTTGATGCAACCATGAATAAAATTGTTGAATCGAAATGACTACACTAGTTGAAACCCTTTTGATAATGGATAAAAATGTGAATTTAGGATTTGAGGATTTTAATAGTAGTTTATATAAAATGTATAATATAGGTAAGATGAGACACTTTAGAAATTAGGAGTAGTATTTTTGTATTTTACTTACTCAGACTATCGGTGCTACGAAACAACAATGTGCAAAAGCACTTATATCGCACAGATACTCCATAGCTAGGTACACATGAAGTATCATTATTCTAAATATCATTTCAAATTACATGTTACTTCATTTAATAACTATTTCTATGCCTGGGATCACATAATATTACATCGTATGTAATATTATTTTAAATAACGCATTATTTTATTTTATAGTTATTTGTGATATTATTTTAAATGACACGCTGTTTTATTTTATAATTATTTGAAATATTATTTTAAATATGATGGTCACCTTGAATTTTTTAAATTGAATGGTTTATATTTCTTCTCGTATTCGGGTAAGATATTAATTCTACATGAAAAGTATTCTACCAAATCGGATCTAGAATAAATAGTTACTGAAATATAGAAACAATAAATTAAGTTGCATTCAAATAGACTATTAATACGATATAAAATCAATGTGACTATTAATACGATGTATAATAGTAAGACTGTAATACCGCACTTAAAAATTGAAGGCAAACTTCGCATCTCGATAATAAAATAAAATCATGTAAAATTGATTACAATACTATATGCCCCCCTGCAAACAATGCAACTTCTATCTGAAACATTTTTTCCTATAACGTATTTTATGAGTTATCTCATATCGTCATATTAATCATATCGTCTCATTATCGTCATATACTTCCAATAAAAGCACGTTTTGCGTTTTGGATTTGAAATGATTCGTGCGTCTTCTACTTAGGCGCCAGATGTGTGCCTTGCATGGCCGAGAAAAGTAGTTTGCGGAATCGAGGAACTACGTAAGCCATGCAGTGTATGATCACGTTTGATTACTTCTACTCATTACTCTCTTTTAACATGTTCATTATAATAGTAATAATAAAAGTACTATACAATTGTTCGTTTCGGTGTAGTGTTAATTGTCAACGATTGTTTGAAATGGAACACCAAGATGGAATCGGACCAATAACCGGAAAAAATGTGCTGGATGTTAAATAGTTAAATAGTGTTCCTGTATATCTTAAACACAAATTTTTTTGGACAATATACAGATAAACGCATTCAACTTTCCAGATTAGTGTCCTTTATACTCGAAATCCACACTCAATTAAACATTTTTCGTCAGGAGGTGGAATTGTATTTTCGACTGTTCTCATCGTCTACATTACGAAAATTCTGCACGAAATTTTCCATATAAGAAGAGGAAACCACTGTGACAGTCATTGGCTACTGAGAAGCTTAGTACAGTAGAACCTGCAATAATGAATCGCAAACTACAGCTCCTCCTTCTGTTCGTTCCCATAATTTTTTTGTCAGGAATTTTCGTGACACCAACAGTTGGAGTAAGTTAAGTTGCATTTAGTATTATTGCATTTGTTAAATTCCGAACAAAATTCAGATTATTTCATATTATTTCGGCCAGCTGTATTGCGCCACGGTAATGGGCAAGGACTGAAATATATTATTAATTGGACGCATTCACGATCTGTGGTATATATAATATCATTTCCGTTTCTGCAGTTCAGATGATGACTTAAAAGTAATCGAAAAATGTCGCATGATCCGACAACGCACATAGTTCTCACGAACCTTATAATTGGTCTGATGAAGTTTGGTGCATTAAGAATATGTAGTGAATATGCAAACTCCGTACATGCAAGAATATGCTAACTATATGCAAGATATATATCATCTGTATAGAATATATAGATTTTGTATCTATGTGACGTACGTACGAATGTATTTAACATCGCACAATCTTGTCTAAAAAAAATAATTCTGATATTCGTACGGTGCGTATTTTATTCGTATTATACAAATCAAATATTTATATACTTTTGCAACTATATTAAATTGTATTAACACTATTCATTTTTAAAGAATTAATCTCTCAATGTTTAATAACTTTATTAACTTTGTCAATATCTGATTATTAATATTACACTATACATAATACTACTCATGTATTACGTTGCATGCATAATTTTAGTGAGAATAACAGACAATACTGTTACGAATTGCGACACTTCTCCCGTGTCGCGGCATTTTATTTACAAAAGAGAACACGAACTATAATACAACTGGATTAGATTATGTTAGAGATCTTTGATTTAGATGGTGTTGATCGCTCGACGGTCCGATCCCGACTCTTCGATTGTCCGTTGATAAAACACCTCCGTGGCAACCCCTCTCTTCAATTTTCTTTAAGGAGTTGCTCACAACAGGGCAGTTTCACATTACAGCGACTTGATTTGGACAAGTCGCCGTAACAATACCTTTGTCTAAATTCTCAATTGAAAGTTGATTCCTTTTGTTGGACAAAATCAGTTTAAACGTATAAGATTACCTTTTTAATATTATACAATGTAACTGACACATATTTCAAGCATCTTGCAACATATTCTGGTCGGTAGTCCTTACAAAATATGCGAATTTCTTTATTTTGCAAAAGATGCAAGAGAAAAAAAATATTTTTTTTATATCTTTTAATGACGATTGATACTTTTCTGTGGGTTTTTCATTTACATAAATTACCGCAATTTGGTTTCAATGTAATTATCATTTCATAAGGCCAAGCAGATAAGACTGGAATGGCCCAATTGTAGGAACTGTAATGTGATTTACATTATTAATGCTCAACGTTTTGGGAACACCTTTACTGTACGTGTTTTACGTTGTGTAACAAACATGCTCTTTCCTGCCAATCAATTATCACTTCTAAATATATTTTTGACCTGCAATCGAAATTATTTCCTTATACAAACTTTGTACTTGATCCAATAAGGAGAATTTAAACAATGCGATTTATAACATTCAGAGGTGCACAAATGCCGCTCGCTGATAGGCCGAATTACTACTTGCTATCAAATGCACTATGTTACAAAAGTTCAACCTAGTACAGTAATGTCCCCTAATTGACGCCTAAATTGTGCACAAAAATGGACAATTTGGGAAGAGGAGATACGATTATTCGAGCCTTGCAGCTCGTTTTTATAATTGTTGACAATCGGTAACTATAGAAACTAACTGCAAGGTTCGAATCATCGTATCTCCTCTTCCCAAATTGTCCATTTTTGTGCAAAATCTGAACATCAATTAGGAAGACTTTACTATATTAATTCATATCCGCAATACACATTCCTATATACAATTATAATTATAGATATCTAGAAATTTTTTTCTTTGAACACTCATATTGATTTTAGAAATAGGATTTATCTTATTATTATTATTATTATTATTATTATTATTATATCAATTATGTTCTCATGCAATGAAATTATGGACGAGATCGATGTCAATAATTTTATCTTTCCTAAATCTGATTATGTTATTTCTACGAAACGGGCAAGAACATGCAGATCAATTTGAACTGGGTGTAATCTGTACAACATATTGTATACCGTATTTCTGTCACTTTAGTGCGTGCAAAAACCGAATGTTATATCGTTTAATTACTAGGACAATTCTGATGTTAACCACTTTCACCACGATATCATGTCAGATATACTTATCGGATGCTATGAACTGCTTTTACAGCGATATAAAATACTACTCCTTAATCATCAACATTTAAACATTAATGTAAAGGTTAGCAAGAAATAAATAAAAGTTTTTGTTCACGTATAGGACGTTTTTCATCATCATAGCTACGTAAGAGGTCGTAGTGTGAGGGAATAACTTACAATGCTACTTATCTTACTTATTTTCAAATGGCCAGCTAAAATCAAAATAGGTACCAATGTGCGTAGAACTTTTCACTTTCACGTCGAAATCACTTTTTGAAAAAGAGAATATAAATTTTGTACTATGTTCCTAGTAGTGGAAACCTATAATGAATTTTTGCAAAAAGCATCTTTATATTAATAGCTTAGAATCACAGTGGCCTGTGATGAAATGACATTTTCAAAAATTCATATACTTATATGTTAAAATGTAATTTGCACATGCCAAAATGTTAAAAAAGCGGGTGAAATAAATCATAAAAATGCACATGTTTATTTAAGACATATATTTTTCAAACATCATATTTACAAATTGTAATAAACAACGACGCAAATTATATTATACAATAAATATTATTAAAAATATGAATAATTTATTATTTCCTTTCACTTCACAAATGGACAAAACTTTTCGGTAGAACTAATATAAATTAAATTAACTTTAAATTACAGGATTTTCTTATAAATGTTTCGGAGAATGCATAATTATTGAATTCAGTTGTTTCAATAGAGCAAGAACGTAGTAATCCATTCGCATTGTATGCTATTCTGAACCTTGCAGCGTAATTTCTTTTTTTATCTACGTTAATGGATTTNCAACATTTAAACATTAATGTAAAGGTTAGCAAGAAATAAATAAAAGTTTTTGTTCACGTATAGGACGTTTTTCATCATCATAGCTACGTAAGAGGTCGTAGTGTGAGGGAATAACTTACAATGCTACTTATCTTACTTATTTTCAAATGGCCAGCTAAAATCAAAATAGGTACCAATGTGCGTAGAACTTTTCACTTTCACGTCGAAATCACTTTTTGAAAAAGAGAATATAAATTTTGTACTATGTTCCTAGTAGTGGAAACCTATAATGAATTTTTGCAAAAAGCATCTTTATATTAATAGCTTAGAATCACAGTGGCCTGTGATGAAATGACATTTTCAAAAATTCATATACTTATATGTTAAAATGTAATTTGCACATGCCAAAATGTTAAAAAAGCGGGTGAAATAAATCATAAAAATGCACATGTTTATTTAAGACATATATTTTTCAAACATCATATTTACAAATTGTAATAAACAACGACGCAAATTATATTATACAATAAATATTATTAAAAATATGAATAATTTATTATTTCCTTTCACTTCACAAATGGACAAAACTTTTCGGTAGAACTAATATAAATTAAATTAACTTTAAATTACAGGATTTTCTTATAAATGTTTCGGAGAATGCATAATTATTGAATTCAGTTGTTTCAATAGAGCAAGAACGTAGTAATCCATTCGCATTGTATGCTATTCTGAACCTTGCAGCGTAATTTCTTTTTTTATCTACGTTAATGGATTTAGAATTAAGTATATCCAAATGTCCTTAGCAGATCTTCCTGCGTGAAATCGAGATCCGTGCACGTTACATTCATGTCTTTCCGTGATGTTGTTAAGACACTTCGGAAACACGTTGCAAATAAGGATGAAAAAAAGGTAAGATGATGCTTTCCAAACTAAAAAAATAAGAAATGATATTAATAAAACTCGGTTAAAATACAGAAAACGCAATAATAAGTCGACTACTTAGAAATATATTTTATTTAATGTACTAAATGAGATTTACGTCTTGTTTGTATTGCAGTGCAATGTAACTAGATTATGATTTCATGGCTTTTTCGATGCGCGCATTGATTACTGAGCCCTCTCATAGCAAACAGCGGGTTACTCCTAACCTTATAATCTTAAATCGTAAAATGTGTGTATGCTACACATGGTTGTCTTTCCTATTTTGAAGAATATAGGAAGTATTGAAATATATATTTTATAATAATTTATGCTAAATAATTTAAAACGAAATATTTCATGATTTTACATTTCTGTTATAGAATTATCTATATAGAACTAATCACGGTAATTGAAGCACAGTAATTGGATTAGTCTACAGATATTGACACACAGTAACTAGAAAAGGCTCGGTAACTGAGACACAGTAATTAACTTTCATCTTTTCAAGGGGACAGTAACTTCCACAAAAATTGTTATGTATCTTTTGTTAAATATTTCGTATTGTTTACGTGATTTACTTATGAAAAAGTTTGTACTGACATAAAATGTATCAACATATAACCAAAATGTTTTAAGAAGTGAAACGTAGGTTAAAGAACCGACTTAATTCAGTGAAAACTTTGTGTTCCGTCTTGCAACGGAATTTTCCGGCTGTGTCCGCCTGACTTTCTCCGGGACGGACTACCTTTCTTCAATCCCTAAAAAAACAGTATATTTACGGGGAACCTTCGTTGCAGCGTGGCAAATTGACGGTCCTTCAACGAACGACGTGCAATTGACAAAAGTCAC